TAATTTCTGTGAACGCGCACGCGTTTGGAAAATGTTTCTTATTGATTAATATTCACACATCATATGCGTGGATGTATTTCAGCTTTCTAAAACTTGTCCATATATTCAGCGTGAATCCTCATCTTGGACCGCTCCAGATTTCCCTCGGGAGGATGATAATAGATATTATCAAGTTCTTTTTCATCTACACTCTTGTGCTATTTGCCTTTGGGTGCGGTAAGTAACGCATCTTCCCGATTCAGTCATTCACCGAAGTTTCGTTATTCATAAGCCTTGTACTGATCAAAAAATCATCCCACTTTTACTTCTCAGACAATACAGGTAATCTCTTGGTTCAGTGCGATCGCAAAATGAGAAAAATGTAGGACGTTGCCTTAAATTTATGTTTTATTTTAGGCATGAATCAGTTGATGTGGTATTATGCTGACTTAGAAAAAAGGAAATGCTATCACGTATCCGACGAACTGCCAGATTTCGATAATCAAGAGAAAGCTTGCTCTATATGGAGAAGATTTACTAAGTACGAAGGCTGAAAATATTCATAGAGATTTCTGACGAGATTTAATTTGATTTCTGCTTTCAGCTTGTTTGAGGCATCACAATCTCTCTTTTGGGCAAGTTTCGGCATGATTGATTTAATGTCGTTCGACTTGACAGGCATTAAGAGCTTTACACGATTTTGGGCGCTCCTCATGTTTGGATCTTATTCCGTGATAAACATCATTGTGCTATTGAATATGCTGATTGCTATGATGTCTAATTCTTATCAAATCATTTCGGTAGAATCAGTCAATATTTTTAAGATATCTTGTCAATAAATATATATAAAATTATTCAAGGAAGGTCAAGAGATGTCTGTATAGACAAATTGAAGAAGAAATTTGCGAATTTATTTCAGAAAAAAATAAATTTCTCTCAATGAGGGTATATTCCTTTCAAGTTATTTAAATAGATTTTCATTTTAAATTTTTTATACTTATATTTAATTTGAACATACAAATCTCCTGTCTTTCTTTAATTAATTTTTATATTATAAATTTTTATAGTAATTTTTTATAGTAATTTTTATAATTATTTAATTTTTACACAATATTCTTTGTTAAAATTGACATTTAATCTCACATCAATTGTATATTTTTAGGAAAGATCTGATACAGAATGGAAATTTGCCAGGAGTCATTTATGGATGAGTTATTTCGAGGATGGAGATACTGTACCACCGCCATTTAATATGATTCCAACAAATAAAATTTTCCGAAAACTATTCAAATGTGGAGGCAGCAATCATTCCACAAAATCTTTTATAGTAAACAATTTTTATCTATTAAAGTAAAAGTTTCGAAATAGAATGTTCTTTTTATTAATTCCATTTGCTCAATTTTCAAAAAAATTTACGAAATCATTTGAAACTACAATTCATTTTTGTGCGTATAATTTTATATTTAACGATTATGAATAAGAAACTTTTAACGAATTATATCCTATTACAAAATAACAAAATTGTATTTTTCAGTTAATTTTAAATGGATTGCATTTTAAACTTTTTGTTTCAAATAATATATAGAAGAATAAGAGATTGACAATTTTATTGACAATTTCGAAAGTCTTTACGTTCTTTACGTTTAATTGTATTCACGCTGAAAGAATGCGAGAAGATATATGTATCAGACAATTCCTTTTTCATTAATATCAAAGTTACTCGATTTTATTATTGATAACAGTTATTGATAACAGTTATTCAAAACAAAATTATGTTATTATTTTATTTCAGAAAAAGTCTCGGGAGAAAGCTATGATTAGACATGACACTGTAGTGCGTCTACTTATACGTCGTTATGTGACGGCTGAACAAAGGAAACGAGATGAGTTTGGTATTACGGAGGATGATGTCAGGGAAATTCGCCAGGACATTTCGAGTTTTCGATATGATCTGATCGATATCCTCAGGAAAAATGGAATGTGCACACCAATGCTCGACAAAGAAGAAACAAATAGTCAGTATATTTACATGTAATAAATCTATTATTTATATAATAATCGATCATAAACGTATATTTTACCTCGTGGAAAATCAGGAAGATCATTTTCTATTATTTTATCCCTATCACCTATTATCTTATCGTTTATTTGTTTCGCTTCATTCGCGTCGAATTCGCTCGAATTTACTCATCGATTTTCGGAAGCGCTGAATTCACTCTTTAAACTCGTCTAAAAATAAGATTTCACTCTTTTGGAATGAAAGTTCACTCAAATTCACTCCAAAAAAAGAGTAAAATTCCATAATTCCTTTGGAATCTCATTTCAAAAGAGTGAAATTTTATTTTAAAAAAAGAATGAAAATCTGCCATTCATGTTCAAAATTTTCACTCTTTTTTTCAAGATTAGCTCAATTTTTATTCCAAAAGATTTAGAGAGTAGATCTCCAGATCAATTCGGTAAACAGTAATGTTTAGACAGTAGGCGTCTACGAAATCGATCCAAAATGTACAGATTATTGCAGATACTATTTTAAAAGCAAGTATACTTATAAAATATAATTTTTTATACTTTTAAAGTACCCGGAAAAAAAGGCAAAGTGATGGAACGCCGACTCCAGAAAGATTTCCAGATAGGTATTGTGGAGGGCATCGTGCAAGCAGTTATTCAAAGCGAAAAAGAGCCAAAAGACGTGTTCAGTCAAATTGCAAGGGCGATTGGACGGAAAGGGAGCGGAGTCGATAAAAAGGACTGGAATGCCGTAGTAAGGCAAAGCACCATCGCCATGGATCCTATCGGAAGTACAAATGAAGCGATGCAACGTCAAACCCGACGTAGTTTACGTCGCCAATTGCGACACCAGCCGGATTCTGATCTAGCATCCATGGATCCGAAACGGCTGCTCGACTATAATCCGAATCTCTCGGACTTCACTCCAATTACTAGAATAGCCTATGCCAAGTTTATGCTAAGCAAGAACAAACCGGATGAGCAGCTCAACGGTGGTAGTACATTTATGTTTAAATTCTTTAGCATTTATATTATCTAATACTTTTTGATTTCCAATTTCAATTTCATTAACAGAGACGATTAACAGAGTCGAAATAAATTCCATATAGTATACATCAATCTCTTATCGATATATGAATTTTTTGTCAAGTTTAAATTAACTTTCTCATCAAAAATTTAACAAATTGATATGTACTTCCTTACAATTCCTATTTAACTTTGAAATAATTGCATGAGACTTTTTTAATCTTGAATCCTTTCAATACTTTCTCTCAGATCGATTAAGAACCTTATAATTTTATAATTTTTTATTTAAATACTATTCATTCGCAGAAACAAATGATAATGAAACTGAGGAGGCTCCTCGAAAAAACAGTAAAGTTTTGATAATGGAAACTTCTACAAATGTGGTTCCACGACCGGCCATTGAAACATTTAAGAAAAGTCTATTAAAGTCTACAAACAGTAGTGTGAACAAACAAGCAGGACTCATTGTTAAAGCTGAAGTTAAATCACCATCACCTATACCCGAGGATTTTGTAGAAGAAGAAATAAGCAAGCAATCGATATCATCTGCTACGTTCAATCAAGAGAAAAAAGTCGAAGAAACAGAAAATGTCCAAGAGCAACAGCGAGAAGAAAATGAAGTAATAAGCGAAAGAGAAACATTAGATGAGCAAAAGGAAGAAGAGAAAAATGTCCAAGAACAACAGCGAAAAAATGAAGTAAAGAGCGAAAGAGAAACATTAAATGAGCAAAAGGAAAAAGAGACGGAAAATGATAAGCGTCAACAGTCGAAAAATATAAAGGAAAATAATAGTGATAACACTGGACAGAAGACCAGGGAAGTAGATAAGGAAATTGATACGAAAAAATATGTTGAATCTGATATAACAGAAAAGAAATTTGAAATACCAGTTCAAACTACAAAATTGCAAGGAAAGTCAAAAGCGACCGGTCGAGTAATAGGAGGTTGGATTTAATTGAATATTTTGGTGCTTCCAGAGACACAGTGTAACGCAGTGATCATTTCATCTTTGTTTAACATTGACAAACAACAAACTTACTGTGATTCACTATGTTACATTGTGTCGTCTGTGTCTTCTGTTAGAAAGCATCGTTTATCTTATTAATTAAGTAAATATCTATTTAAAATTATTTATATATTTTTTTTATTTAAATATATAAATATTTAAATATATAATTTATTAAATATATCTTCTTTTATAGAACTCGGTATTTATTTTTAACTATTAATGATGTGCTCACATTAATAAGCATTAAGCGCTAATTGTGTTACGTAAAATTTACAGATTTTAACGTCATTCAGCATTATTAAGATCATTACTAAGATGCGAAAAAAAATCAAATTGTTAAATTGCTAATATTAATTTAACTTGTGATATTGCGATAGAGTTCGCGTTTTAAGATCGAAAAATCATTTCAGCGCGCAGTTTAAAGGACTACATATAATTCACACAGAATAATACAAGCACTTAAAATCCAGCTAGTTATCGTTAAAGATATTTATTTCTATTGGTTGTGTTCTTACATATACGGTCGGATGAGATTTAATATTTAATTTTGTTAAATAAGTTTAATTTAATTAAATTTTGTCAATTTTAATTTAAAAAGTAATAAGTAATAATTGTCAATTTAATTAAAAAAGTAATAGTAATAATAATTCTCAAAACTTCTCAATAAGATTAGATTATTTATAATGGAAATTTCGTTAAGTAAAAAATTGACTATACAGTGTTCATGAATACGATAAGTAGATGACTCGTATTGATGAATATAATTAGCTCTATCGGTTTTCCTTGTTCATTCTTATATGCCCGCAATGTCACGTAAGCGATAAGACGGTTTTTAATTTTGATGATTCTTATCAATAATACAATATACACGTCATAAACGATGCTGTATTTAGATAGCGAATGTAATATAAATGACATGTGATAAATATAATTATATATTTAAAATAATGTATGCAATTGATATTTACAACGCATTCTTTAACATGTACATTTGCCGCAGATCAATCTTAAGAAAGGCCTAAAATATGAAAATAGCAAAATTAATAATAATAAGTGCTTGTGTTTTATCTATTAACTCGCATTGTATATTATTACTAAATTAATTTCTTCTGCGTTAAAAAATTTACATTACTACATGTATGTATAAGATTGTATACTTCTTTCCTCTTATGGAAGAATTGTTTTTTGGAAAGATAAAGTTTTTTGTGCCATTATGGTATTTAATGAAATTAAACAATATAAACATTTTTTCGCATTATGATTAATAGTATAAATATTACTGATTGAATACCTTCGTTTTTGCTTATCCTCTCCTTTCATTTTTATTCCGTTAGCAGCGCGCTTCTTCATTCTGTTAACTCTTTTATCTTCCTGTAATGTCATATATCATATACTGTGGTATATGTCACATTCAGCATATCATATGAGATAATATGATCCATGGTGGAAGAAACCCAAATGTTATTGTACAAACATTTTCTATAATAATAAGGACCATTCCTAGACTCATTGCTCCCGGATATCCCTCCGCAATCACTCTTTTATTCTACATTGTAAACCCAAGATTTTTGCTAATCTTTATATAGTGAAAATAAATAACTTTTTCGCAATTCCCTTATCGGCTGAACAGCGGAAAAATTCGAAATGATTCCTATCTTAATCCAATCCAAATTCAAGCAGAACAATAAATTACGATAATGATAAAATAACATTAAAATGAATCGGAAATGATTGAAAAATGACTTTTAATGATCATTTTGAAGTCATTATGACATCATTTTAATATCATAATGACTCGTTGTTCTGCATGGAAACCCACTTTGAAATGATTACACGTTCATATTGTTACATTGATAATTGATATAAATCAAGCATCAACTTATTACAAGTATTAACAATTGATTGCACAAGCGTTTCTCAAATATTTAATAATACACATACAGCAGATTATTTTTTCGTTCTTCACAGAGTACTCAAACTTTAGAGAGAGAGAACAATATATTCGACAGTGTATACCATAACATGAAAAATTTGATATACCAGAAAGAGAGAGTCTGAGAGCGATAATGATCGTGAGTTAGCTGTTACTAAATCCTATAAGTAATGTCTACGATTTCTCTGCCATATGTTATTAGATGGTCAGACATGAGACAAAGACAATCAAATGTTTTTATCTAGTTGATCTAATAACATGGAAAATTATAAAATCGTGGATATTACTTATGAGAATTCCAATTTGCTAAATTATGATCATGACATAAAATTAATGAATGCTTACATCTTCAAGTTCACCGATCAAATATTTTTTGAGCATTTTTGTCGCATCTGAAGAATGTCCAAATTCATCAAATTCACTAGTCGCGTCTTTTCCTGCATATTCATCGATTAGTTCTGGACCACCAGGATGCTGTAAATAATATTTCTCCCTATACTTAATTTAAGTCTAATATATTCTAATTTATTAAGTTATTTTTATGTACAGAGGATGAGATCAAACATTTCGACCAGATTTTGAAATTTTATACACAGAGAAAACAATGTAGTTGGCCTACTTATTACAGAGTTTTGGAAAGCTCTTGAAATAAGCTACTAAAATATGCAATAAAAATATTTCTATAGAGGATTACATTAAAAAATTTTATGTAATTTATATTATAATTTATATTATAATTTATATTCCTTTGAGGAATTTGATCTTAAGAACATCTTAAGATCAACCAAGGTCACTATTTTCTTTCCCCCTCAAAAACCTACAATTTTTATGTGTCTGAAATATTTTTCTCTAAACCTCCACGATTTCCAAATATTTGATTGTCAAATATAAAATGACACCCGCTCATATATTTTTTCTTTATACAATTTTGATATCAATGTTATTGATATTTTCTTTTTAGTTAAAATTTTTAAGTTTTTTTTACATAATTCAATTTTTTTTGCTTATAAAGGCATTAAAATAAAATAATAAAGAAATTAATCATTCATAAAATGTCTCATATCTTATATTTTAATATTTTTATATAAAATATAAAATATTATGTAAAATATTTATTTTTTAATCTTATTTTAAAGCTTTTTTATATAGAACATTGAAAGAATTTAATAAATGTAAAAAAAATGTAATTGCATTTAGGAAAAAATATACAATTTGTAATATACAATTTTATAATATATGTACCTGTTGCATATAATCCGTTACATCGTAAATGTTGTCATGGATAACGATCCAGGTTCTCACTCCGTTTTTGCCATTGCATTTCGCAACATCGGCGAGCGAATAGCGAATTGTCGAATAGGACATTCTTCAACTGAATTTTGCGAGAAGAAGAGAGAACTCATTCACATCCGCAATATAAATAACATGTTGCCTATGTTCTGAGGACTACGGTACTCTCGGAAAATACGAAAGATAAGCATATCGCGATTTAGAGAGGAATGTAATATTGTATCTATAGATAACTGTAATTCTATTATTATTGGCTCAATTTATTGTTTCATCGTGCAATTGATGCAAAAATGTCACTCGCTGCACATTGTTGTAACTTTCCTATAGATCGTCGCAATTATAATTTATTATATCAATTATTAATGATATACGTCACGAAAACGTATTCGCGGTAATTATCAAAGGCGCAACAAAAAGAAATGTACTCAATTTTAATTGCATATTCTAATCAGTTGTGCTTATTTAAAAGAAGTAAAAATTCAAGTAAAAGTTTTATATTTTTTGAAGGGAAACTAAGATTGTCTCATGGTGAAAGAGATATTCTTCCTCCATAAAATGCTTAATTTGTTTCGCGAATGAAGTATATTATATGTACATATCTGATATTCAGAGAGAATCATAAATAAGAATGTGGAGTTCATAAGAGGACGAATACAGGAAAAGGAAATATTATAATAACAGATCTGTAGATACAATGTTGTGAAAGAATAAAATACATATAGGCTATGTTCATAATTCTTATTTGAAAACCGTCTTAAGTAAATGATATCTTGTATGGATTTTCTACAATAAGCAGTTATCTAAGCTTTAATCATAAGAAATTAATCAATCATAATCAATTCTTCTTCTCACATTCGATTGTAATCGGTCAATTTCTTACGTTATTAGGTAGTGGCTTATTGTAGAAAGCCCATTAATTTATTTATTAGTACGGCTCCGATTGGTTTATGAATTGTAACAACTTAAGACTGTATTTAAGATGATCCTATAAATAAAAACCGACTATAAATACTGACATAATTATTTTATTTTGACAAAATGATTTAATAGGAGTCAAAATAGTAGGAATTAAATAATCAAAGAAAAAAATCTTAATTACTAAAAATCATTTTTTTACCTTACGTATATTACAGAAATAACAATAATGTATATGCTGCATAATTAAATGTTCATATTATTGTACAAAATATTATTTAATTTTTTTTATCTTACTTCATATTAAGATCCAACTGAGGATTCATACCATTTCGACTTTTTCAAATCAATTCCTTTTAACTTATTTCTATAATTATTTAGAAGTTTATTGAAATTTGCATCATCTGCATCAAGCTTCTTTGCTTTTTTCAACTAAAAAAAAATGACATAAGTATTATAAAATCGGTGTTCCGATATTCACCATCAATGATGAAAATTTATAATGCACGTAATATATACTACAGATTTTTAGTACTGACAATGAATATTGAAAGGCAGCCAAAAAAATCCATAAATCAGAAAATTCTATATAACTAAAATTTACAAAAAATTTTAGTCATACATTTAAATTAAATGAAATATAAAAATTTATAATTAATATCTTACTGGCATGCTGTCTTGTCTTTTTTTTATTTTTTCTTGTTTTACAATGTTCAATTGCTTAGCCGCTTTATTCAGTTTCTTCTGCTTTTTTACAGTCATCGTATGTAATTCGGCTTGTGATTTGAGATTAAAGTTTGACCTTAATTTATCCTGACCTAATTTGCTGGTCATGCCTGCATATGATTTTTCTTCTTGATCATTTAATTTTCTAACTTTAACTCGTTTAGTTGGAACTTCTTCCTTGTCCTCATTTTTCTTTTTATCTTTGTTTCCAAACCACAATGGATTGTGCTCGCGACTTTTTTGAATTCTTTTTTCTTTCGCATTCACTAAGATACGATTTTCTATCGAGAATCCAACTATAGGTCTCTATAATCAAATTTGTAAACTAATATATAAAAGATCGAAATAAATTAATAAAAATAAAATTATAATCTTACTCTGCTTTTAGAAAATATATTTGGATTATTGTTTATACTTCTTAAAGCTTTAAGTGCATCTTCGTGAGAGGTAAATGTAACAAAGCCATACTCTTTTGATTTTCCTTTCCCTGTCGCATCAACGTTTTTCAAATCACGCATAACTCGTGCCTTAAAAATTGCAAATAAAATTAATTAATGCTTATAATTTCAAATGTCATTAGAAAAGTAACATTTATATATTCTAAATAAAATTACTTCTTTAATTATAGCCTTAGGACCACTGTGATTTTTAAATAACTGCCTAAGTTTTTCGTTATCAAAATTGGAAGGTAAATTATGAACAGCTAACCGTACTCTCGATACAAACATATTCAAGTTACGTAACATCTGTGTTTTCCATTGCTCTAATTTCAAACGTTTTTCCATATCGGATACTGACACTTCCGCTGCGGCTGGACTTTTGGCCAGCACAACTAAAAAATCAACAACGAGATGTTAAAATTACTTTATATAGCATAATTTTACAATCAGATCTCAGATTACCTCCTTCTTTAATGAGATATAAATTCCTAGAATCTTTAATCTTTTTTCCTTTTAAATTCTTTTTGTCCTCAACTTCATTTCTACGTAATGCTCTGTGGGCTTCAATTATTTGGTCACGTAAACGTAATTCAGTTCCAGCTGACAAACAATTTTCGGCGTCTTCAACACGCTGCACAATAAAATATTTCTTATAATGATAAACAAAATTGATAAACTAAATTGAATGATTTAAAATATACAACTAATGAAAAATTGTCAACATTTATCGAATGAACTACTCTTACTTGAAATTTAACAAATGCGGTGCCTCTAGAATATTCGGTCAGAGGATCCATACACACGAGAGCATAGTAAACAGATCCAAATTGTTCCATGCACTTTTTAAGTTCGTCATTTTTTACAGAGAATGGTATATTCTTCAGAAAAATTGTTTTTCCTTCACCAACATCATTAGACACTCGATTTGGACGTTTTACAAAATATTTCTCTTCTTGATCAATGTCTTCTTCCTTAATAACAGATCTATCAATTACATTGGAATCATTATCATCATTTTTATCTTCATCGTCAGTATCTTCTTCGTGTATTTTTATCTCATCATCAGATTCAGTCTCCTCTTTTATACTTTCCATTGTAACTTCTCTAAAAATTGTAAAATTATTTAAAAAAAAAAAGACAGAGAGAAACAAATTATTTAGAAAAAAATAAACAATTTACAAAATATATAGATAATATCCAGGATTGGCAAAGTTACTTTATAACTCGTTGTCATTATTCAAAAATTAATGAGTCATTCTTCTTACTTTTTTTAATAGAATATATACTCTACAAATTTTTGCAGTAAATATAAATAGAAAATCATAGAATTCTATCTTCTAGTAAAAAACTAAAATTCAAAACCTGATAAATATATATTAAAAAAATAAAATTTTAGTAAAACTTTAGATTAAGATCGACCTCACCGATTTCAATGATCTTTATACATGTCAATGCAGCAGCTGATTAATTTTTCGCTAGAAATTAATTAATAAGTAATAATAAAAGTAACTAGTCAAATCATTACTGTTACACAAAAAAATGTAACGTTATCCATTCATTATTTAAAAGTAATGATGACAACATTATAAGTTTACTAATCTTGATAATATCCACTTATACTCTAACATAGTTCAAACTTTAAATACCTATCTGATTCAGCATCTGAATCACTAACGTCATTCTTACTGTTAGAAGATGCATTTGTTTCTGAAATATTATGTACTTCATCCTCATCAATAGGTTCAGTTTTGATTTCTACCTTCACATTTGTATTGTTTTGAAAAAACTTTGTTTTAGGAACAGCCCAGTCAACTATCATAGGCCTATTTAAAAGAGGTAACATATTTGCATAATGTATAGCCTTTGCAGCGTTTTGTACAATATTATATTGTAAGAACGCAACTCCAGTTGGTTTACCATCAGGTTTGGTCAAAATCTTTATTTCCTCTATTTCGCCATATTGAGCAAAATGTTCTTTCAAATTAACTTCTGTAACCTATGAAGAAATTGAAGGCTTTCAAATGTAAAAGTATTAAAAAAGAAACTTTTTTTTTTCACATAATATATAACAAATACCTGAAAAGCTAAATTTCTTATTACAATCCTGGCTCGTTTTTTTTGTTTTCTCATCTTGTGTAATTTTCTTATCTTTTGCTTTCTCAAGTTACTCTTCTCTTTTGTAATCTTTTTCTGAGTATTACTACTGTCATCATTTTCTTTTTGAGTATCCTGAGAAGATCCTTCATCTTTATCAATTTCTTGATTTTCAACAAGATATTTTTCAAGTTTTTCGGATTTGAGTTTTGATATAGCCCAGTTACTGTTTATGTTTCTTCCTAAAATGAGCAATGCATGTTTCATATATGTCAAAATCATTTTTTTTTTTAAGCCTGATTTTATAAATACCAAGGAACTCCTTTTTATTTGTATTAAATATCGCTTTTGAAGCATCTTCAACACGCTTAAAGTCTATGAAACATCCCATTGGATTTCCATCTGGACGCTTCAAAAAGTTTATTTCTTTGATTTCACCAAATGGCTCATAAAATCTCCTTACATCTTCTTCTGTTGCCTAAGAAAATATAAGTATTATATAATAAATTAATTTATGTGAAATGAATAAAACATTAATAGATGGAATTCTTCCTTTTAAAATTAAAATACATTTTTCTATTTGATGTTGGATATATTCAAACATGTATATACCTTAAAGGATAAATTCTTCACAATTATTCGAGAATTCTGTTCCTTTATGTTTGCAGTATCTGTTATTTTTACTTCAGAACTTTTTGCTCTTCTTAATTTAGCCTTCCTTCGATACATCCAAGATAACTTTTTCCCCTTTTCCTTTCTTTGTTCTAAACAATAAATGCTAATTATGTAAATTGAACTAAATCATTGTTTTTATATCGAGCTATTAAAGTTCTTACCATAAGATGGTTTACCCATTTTTTAAATGTCAATTTCAAATTTTGTAACAAAATATTTGTAATT